TCTGTGGCCGCTTGTTCAAAGGTTGGATAACGCTATCCATTGGAAAATCACTATAGTGGATAGCGCAATACGTTTTCTTAATAGTTATCCGCTGGATAGTGATTTATCCGTTGGATAGCATTATCCACTCTTCGAGCAACTGTGCCCTGACGTGTAGTCCAATCTTCAGAATTCATGAACAATCAAAGCACAGTGAACAGATCAGTGTTGTACTCTTTGAAGGGGAACGATTTTAGATGAGAGCATCTGCTAGAAATAATATCGACAGGAAATTCCGGAACTAATGCAAGTTATTTGGAATACAGAGACTTTTTTAGTATACAGTATTTGTATTGTTGGTCATTTCATCAGGTTATTCAACGCATCTGTTTCACATGCATAAATTAGACTCGGCATTGGCTTGCAAATTCAGAGATTAATGGAAATTGTTTGGGATACAGAGGTTCTTTGTTTAGTGTAAAGTAGTTTTATCTCTTTTTATTTCATCAGGTTATTCCATGGATCTGTTTCACATGCTTAAATTACACTCTGCGTTGGCTTGCAAATTCAGAGATTAGCTGAAACACGTTTTACGTAGTCGAGAAAGGCAGGTTTAGAGGTGAGGATTGCAGCTGCACAAAATATCTGCGATTCCTTCGAACCGCTTCAGGTATGGATATTTGGATATGTTTATTAAGACCTCTTGCAGTAAAAATAACTGAATTACAAGTCTGCCCAGCAAACAATAATAATCCAATAACACAAAATAAATAGCTAAGAAAAAAATTGATTGTATTAGCAACCAACAAGCATATAATGGCAAAATAATGGCGAAACTAATCATGTGCAAAGCATAAAGCGTATTTTTTTGAGGTAAAGTTCTTAAACCTGTTGGTCGAAGTGCCTCGGATATTTGAATTTCTTTCTCTAGGTCTTAACGCGTAATTATACTGAGTATCTACTATGCCACCATTGATCATTATGGGGAAATAGAGTGACGAATTGTTTTGCATAAATTGAAATAATGGAATATTTCTTCTATACCTACTGACAAAGATACAGACCAGATTGACTGGCCTTCAAGTCACATTTTTTAAAACCGAAAGAGTGCGATATACATTCCAGAACTTTGATCAAGATAATCGGCTTTGCTGAAGCATATTCTAGTAAGTAACTTGTTGTTTATTTGTACATGGTCGATTAACCCAAGTAATTCATAAGGATGGACATTTCACCTCTTTATATGATTAGTTGGTTACGCAATCGACAGCTTCTGTAAGGTGCTGTATTGTGGGAGCTTTGGGTACCGAGGCTGCGAAATGAGCTCCTGGGAGGGAGTGATGGAGGTTTGTTT